GCCTGCGACAACGGCACAGGGTCCCCACGGGCTCCCCGGGCTAAGGGGGGCTCCAGCCTCAGGGCCATACAGTTCAGTCCAAAAAAAAAATCATCACTGTTGCCTTCACGGCAGTAACGTGCAACCAGAAAACTCACAGCTGGATTTTCCCTGAGGTTAGTCTAGGTCTGAAGAGGTAAAATAATAAACCGGCAGGATACCTTTGCCAAAGGGGCACTGCAAAAGCAGCCCAGGAAAGCAGGGAAGGAGAAAGGAAGGAGGCAGGAGCGTCCGCAGCAGGGCTGTGCTTGGAGAGGTCCACCCCGTCCCTGTTACGTGGCATCTGTCCTGTCCCCACCATGCTGCCCCCCGCCCCGTGACTTGCTAGCACTGAAAGCTACCCTCAAAAATGCTCTGGGAGCTGGCAGCTCTCTCCCAGCCCAAGAAACAAGTCCAAATCATTTGATAACTCCATGGTTCATCCCTTCCTGTAATGCTCACAGGGCTTGGACAAAGCTGATAAAAAAGATGGGGGGAGCAGAGAGAGCATGGACCATCGCTGCTGTCTAACCACCACCATCCTCTTCCCTGATTAAAAAAAGGTGCAAAGACCAGAACCAGCCTGTCATGAGATTAAAAAAAAAAAAGGCAACAGGAAAGAAAAAGCAAAAGAGCAAGGAGAGAGGGCTGTGGGGTCCTTCCCCTGGCAGGGCCTGGCCCGCATCAGGGAACTCCCTGCTCCAGTCCCCGGAGCAGCTCCCACAGCTACCCCACGCCGCCCGCTCTGCCAAGCGCTCACTAATGACGATAACTTTAACACCTGAAACATGTTGGAATCCATGGGACAACCGCAAGGGAGGAGTCGAGCAGGCAGCGCTGCAGGATTCATAAAAGAAAAGGTGCTTTTGGAAGGAAAAAAAAAAAAGAGAGAAAAGCAGCGAGATGGGTGGCAGAAAGCAAAAACTTGCGTTTGCAGAGAGCCCTTTGCCCTGCTCAGTGCTGGCGATGCCTCTGAATCCAGCTGCCAGCACCTGCGAGATGAGGGGAGCCGAGCCAACACCACCCATCGGAGGAGACAGCCAGACCTGGAGTCCGTATCGCATTTAAAAGCCGGACATGGCTTTCTCTTAACCCTCTGCTAACACCCAAATCGTCCCCCTCCCGAAGGTGGATTTGGCAGCAATGGGGTCCGGCACCTGCTCCTGCACATCACGGCGGCTCGAGAAGGAGCCAGGCTCTGTGCCGGGCTCCCAACCGGGTCCCCATCCAAGTGTCTCCCCCTGTGCCAGCCCCTCTGCCTGGCACTGCCCCTCGGTCGCAGCACGGCACGGGGCTCAGCACCGAGAGCGTCTGTGCTACGGCCCTGCTTGCAGCAGAAGCACAGAGTTGTGCCTGGGTGCTGGGACCGGCAATTTGGTTTCTCTGGTCCTCAGGTGATGCAGTCGAGGAGCGTGGGAGAAGGCAGCTCTGGGCGAAGGTAGCCAGGCACCGGCCCAGCACTGCAAGCACCGCAGCCCCGGCAACACAAGCTGCATCAGCCGAAGCAATGACAGTTCCTTGGAGCACTGGGTTTTAGTACCATCGAGGGAAGAAAAAAAAAGTTATTTTAGAGTTTCACCTTCCTCTAGAGGAGGCTCTGAAAGACCAAGAGGAAAAACAAGAGTGAGGCATTAGCAAGGGAGGCAAGAGGAGCAGTTAGCCGGCACCACGTGGGGTCTTCTCTCCCACAGCCTATTCCAAAGACACCCGTGAGCCGCCTTCGGCATGTGGTGGGTCTGCGGCTCCGACCGGCTGCCTGCCTTTTAGAGGTGGCTGAGCCTTTCACCGTACGTGTACGGAGGTCTCTGCAGATTCAAAGGCAGAAGGCTGTCATGTGCAGTGTGCTGACCCCAGCCCGTATTTTCTTTTGCAGCCCCCGAGAAGTAACCTGCCGGGAGGCTGCAGGCCAGGGGTGTGAGCCACAGCTCGGGAGCGCTTGGGAAGGTCCCCAGCACTCGCATGTGACCACCGAGCTGGGACACAGCCCCAGCCCAGCTTTAGTAGTGACCTGTTGCTGGCTCACACACTGCACAAGGACCCGCCAATCCCTTTTCTTCTCTCCAAAATCCTGGTTTTACTTTTTAAAAATAAGTTAATTTCCAGTTTTTAACTTTCAAGGAAAACAGTCGCCGTGTTTCCAAGCTGCCGTTAGAAATGAATGCACCAAGCTGGGGGAGAGGGGTGAGCACAAGAAAGCTGCAAAAAGCACATCTGCAGAAATTTACTGCAGGAAAACCAGAAGCAGCAGCCTCTGCTGGGTCTCCATCCCTTGTCCCTCCGCACACCCTGCTCCCAGGCTGAGGCTGGCCCAGAACAGCCCTGCAGCACAGCCTTGCCCGAGCACCGGCCTTAGGCCAGGCTCAGGAAGGGGCCATCACAGAGCCGCTTGCCCAGGCAGCACAGCAGGACAAACAGCAGCTCCTGGCTCCAAACCACGGCTCCGAGACAGCCCAGCAACCAGGCAGAGCTCAGGGCACGGGCCCTGCATACCATCCAGGTGCTTCAGGCTCATTTTTGACCTTTCTGGTTAATATCTGGGTTTTTCCTCCTCTTCCCCTACCCCAGTCCACCCCAAAGCACCACTGAGGAGCTGCTCCAACAAACCCTTGCCGTGAGAGGTACGTGCTTCAGGCTCCTGCCACTTGGCCGTAGCCCTGTG